TCCTTCCTTCCTTCCTTCCTTCCTTCCTTCCTTCCTTCCTTCCTTCCTTCCTTCCTTCCTTCCTTCCTTCCTTCCTATAAAATCAAAGGGGATTGTGAAATATATTCATCCACAGAAATGTATATACAAAACTCATGGAAATGTAACCTGTAACCATAAGTGACAGTGAAATGAGCAGATTTCAAACTAATCTCAGACTGGTTGAGTCAGCAAGAGGATTAAGGGGTGTGAAAAGCACCGCTGGTGATACAAAAAGAGATCTGTCGTTTTTCCCCCCTGACACAGTAGTCTGAACATTATAAAGCTGGCTGGCTCTTGGGAGGGAGCAGCTTAGAGGAAACACAGGCCCTTTTGAAAGAGTCCTGTCTCAAGTAAGATTCCCACTTCTCCCAGTCCTTTCTTAAGCAAGATTGAATGAAGTTAGCAGGGTGGGGAAAAGCTTGGCTTTTGTTTAAAGAGAAGTGCTACAAATCATGAATACAGTGACTTTATTCACATATATTCAGGGCTTCAACCCTCCAGTTGGGCAACATTACATTAAATAGCATAGGGAATATCCAAAATATGGGACACTTATTTATAACACAGTAATGTGTTACACTGCACAAATAAAACTAAAAAGAAAGAAAGAAAAAAAATGCAATGTATTCTTGAAATGCTTATATATCTGCATCTATATCTACACACACACACACACCACACACACACACCACACACACACACATACAAAATTAAAAGGAGCCAGCCTGATTACAAATAGAAAGAGAAGCAGCTGTTAAGCACAGCCTGGTTCCCAAAGGGGGCCATTAAATGTTACCCCACTGATTATATCTGTGTAAATTAGTGCCCTTGGGTTAAGATATAATGAAGTACTTACTAACAGAGAAATGTGTTCCCCTCTCCTTTGCCCATTCTTTTATTACCATCTAAATAGACAGCTGAGAAGATGCATGTAATAATACAATAGGCAACAGTAGTCCCATTTAAACAATTATTTATTATGTTTGTTGGAATAACACACACACACACACACACACACACACACACGTATCAGCTTTATAAGATAGG